TTTTATGATTCACTTTAAAATATCTTTAATTGCCATATCATTAGTTTTGGTTCATAAGTTAATAAAAGTATATTTTAAATATACTTTTTTTAAAAAAAAAAAACTATTTCTAGCATAGTTATATTTAGGTCAAGTATATCTTCATATTTTTTTCATCTTTTGAAATTCAAATTGACAAATAATTTTCATATTTATTTATAGGAACACATATTGAGAAAATTAGATAAACAAGCATTTTAATTATCATTTCTGCTACCATTAAATATACAAAGTACTTTGTAATGTACAGGACTTTTATAAAGATACTAGAGGCCCGGTGCATGAATTCATGAATGGGTGGGGTCCCTCAGCCTGGCTGTCAATCAGGGCGATCAGGCCGATCGAGACCGCAGGAGATAGGCCAGCCATGGGGGGTTGGCTGTGGGAGTGCACTGACCACCCAGCCAGCCGGAGGGAGGGACCGCCGGAGGTTGGCTGTGGAAGCACACTGATGACCAGGAGGGCAGCTCCTGTGTTGAGTGTCTGTCCCCTGGTGGTCAGTGCATCATCATAGTGACCAGTCAACCGGTCGTTTGGTTAACCAGTTGTTCGGTCAACTGGTTATAATGGTTGCTTAGGCTTTTATATATAGAGATTGTTAAACTTTATTGAGTGATATTTAATAAGATATTTTAAAAGAATAAAATGAATAGAGATACCTAGGGAAATAGTCCATGTTTTCTCACTGGAAAATTCAATATTATGATTATAACTGCACTGATCCTATCTAATAATAGACAAACATGGTAATTGACTGTACCTTCGCTACGCCTCCCATTGGCTAATCAGCGCAATATGCAAATTAACCACCAACAAAGATGGCGGCTAATTTGCATACTGCAGGCAGATCCCGCTGTGCCGCCCTGCCTGAGGCTGGCGGCAGCGCAATCCCCAGCCGCTGGTTGCCCCAGCATGGGATCTGGGCCTGTCGTGTGCGGGGCGGGGCGGGTGGCAGCGAGATCTGGAGCCGCCACCAGCCCCACGACAGGGAGAGGCTGGCAGCCCCCACCAGACACACACACACACACACACAGGGGTAGGAACCCCTGGCGCAGGCAGCTCCTCAGAAGTGACACCGGAGCTGTGAGCCCCAGGTGCACAGCCAGGAGACCCGAACCTGCCTACTCGAGCATCAGGCTTATGCTTATTGGAACTAGGCACCAATACATTAGAGAAGTTATTTTAAAACAAACAACAAAGAAGAAAAGTTTCGACCCCAGAACTATGTCCCCACAGGGAGTGGGTGACAGCAAAGTAGAGCACAGGGCTGACACGCTGTGGGCGGCGAGGACGAACACGGAGCTGAGGGAAGAAGCCAGTGCAAAGGCCCAGGCTGTCTGACTCCATTTACCTGAAATGCCGGGAGCAGGAAGCGCACGGGCACAGGAAGCGACCAGTGCTTTCCAGGGGGGTTTGAGGGGCTGGGGCCTAAGGGAGAAATGATTTTAGAGGAAGCGCAGCAGCTTGAGGGTGCAGGAGGCCTGGCTCCCAGGTCCAAAATCAGAAAAACAGCTCAGAAAGGAAACCTGAAGAAAGCCCCAGAAGTACCCAAAGGAAAGAAAGGTCTGGGCGTCTCCACGGAAGAGCGAAAAGGCATGGCACACAGCAAGACGGGCGGCTCTGGAAGTGAAAAGGAGCATCAGGAAAGGGGCCAGGACCAGGACCAGGACGGCTCCTCAGGAAGAAACACACCCCCCAACATCAGCCAGAGGTGGACAGAGACCAGGAGTGACCGGCAAGTCCGGAATGAAAAGTGAAGGAGGACAGCGGGGCACCTGGCAGCAGCTGGGCGTGTGGTTTGCGGGAAGGAGACAGAGCCACGCCAGGGTCCCGTCTCCCGGGGGTGCTCCAGCGCCGTGAGCTTAGACTCGGACAACACAAGCAAGCACCCCAGGCTTTAAGGCCTCACTGGGTGCTTGACCTATTCTTTTAAAAAATATTTTTAACACATTTCAATGTCAAGAAGTAAAAATAAAACCAAGAAAGAAAAACTACGCTTTAGGAGCCTGAACATCCACAGGGACTTCCGCCGCCCGCCCCAGCGAGGGATCCAGCCTGCCATCTGCGACCAGGGGAGATGGGGCAGACACCGCGGGATCGGGCGTGCCATCTGCCACCAGGGAAGCAGGCCTAAACCAGCAGGTGGTTATCTCCTGAGGGGTCCCAGACTGTGAGAGGGCACAGGTTGGGCTGAGGGAGCCCCCACCCCCTGCCAGTGCACGAATTTCTGTGCACTGGGCTTATAGTTATGATTATAGTTATGATAGATTATTTTTACATAATAGGTCATTTTGGACACAAATAGATCATTTTAAACAATTAGGTCTTTAAATTTTTCTATAGATTCATTGCAATCGCAATAAAAACTCAGATTTTTTTCCTGTCCTTTTGTGGTATTTGTATGTGTGACTGTGTGTGCACATTTGAGTGTTGTGGGGAGAAAACTGATTACCTGATTCTGAAACTCACATGGAAATGCAGAAGGAAAAAGTAATCAAGATTCATTTGAAAAAGAAGATTAAAGTAGGCCAAAAAATGCATTTAAAAAAGAAGATCAAGGTAAACAAACTTGCTCTATCAGGTATTGGGATTTAATTGTAGACCTATGATAATGGAGTGATATCTTTTGAAACAGGGATAAAAATATAGACAAATCAGCCAGCATTAGAAATAGAACCAGATATAGACATTTTATTTAAAACAAAAACAAAAACGTGGCACTGGTAATAGTATTGGAAAAAATGGAAGTCAATATGGAAGAGGAAAAAAAATAGATTTCTTCCTCACTTCATACATAAAATCAATTTCAAATGGTTTAAACACAAAAATGTAAAAGGCAAATTGATGAAACTTTATGTTATTTGAAGAGAATATCTTCATTACTTAGGAGTAGAGAAAGACCTCTTAAGCACAAACTTGAAAAACACAAACTATGAAAAAGAGTTTAACAAATTTATATTAAAATCAAGAATTTTTGTTCATCGAAATATATAATTAAGATAATGAAATTACAAGCCACTGAGTGGGAAGTATTTGTAATTTATAAACTGGCAAAGACCTCTCACTCAAAATATATTAGGATTTCTTTAAAATATTAAGAGAAAAGGCAATCACAAAATGAGATTTTCCAATGTCTAATACACCCCTGAAAAGAAACTGAACTAAATTAAAAATCACAATGAAACACACCAATGAGGCAGTAAAGGTGGGAAACTGACAGTGTCCCTGTTGTGGAGGAAGTGGGGTGATGGGAAGGCCCATACACTGTGAGCGGGGGGCCCCTTTGAAAATCCTTTTGACAATATTTAATGAAGATGACCATACTTTATGAACAAGGAATTCCCATGAAAGTTATATACCTGAGAATTAGAAAAAAATAAAGATTTAAGATTTTAAAAAAGGAGACAATTTAAGAACCCTCACTCATGTTAAGAGTAGCAACTCAGATGTCTACTTGAGTGGAAATAATAACAAAATGTGGTATATTTATACAACAGAATACATAGATCAATGAAAATAAATATAACAGAATAACCTTAAAATTGTAATATTGAGCAAATATATAATTCAAATGAAAAAACCTTACAAAACCAGCAAAATCAACTTTTATTGTTTGTGAACACACATGTATATATGTAAAGAAGTATAATGAAAACCAAGTGATAACTTTAAAAAAACATGTTACTGCTGAAGAAGGTTGTTCTAGCATGGACTTCAGAGATACTGGAAATATTTGTCTTGATTTATGAGGATGTTTGTTTTACTTAGTTAATCTGAATCATACTTTGTTAATATGAAAATATATTTTATACAATTATTAAATGTTACATTCACAGTAAAACAAAGGTTAAAAAAAGAATGCGAAGATTCAGTTAGATCAGGGGAACCTCTTTTTTTCTGCCAAGGGCCATTTAGATATTTATAACATCATTCACAGGCCATACAAAATTATCAACCTAAAAATGAGCTCCCTATATTTGGTCAAACATTGAATTAACTCATCCCTAATGCTTGACAGGGTCAGACCAAATTATTTTGTGGGCCTTATATGGGCCTTCAGGCCAGACGTTCTCCACCCCTGAGATATAAATAATTCTATTACACATATTGCTATACATAAAAATTTTAATAGCTAACTGTCCAGCTATAATGCCATTTATTCTGCAGAAAAACACAGTAAAGTAGTGCCTATTTTTATGGCTACTGAACTGAGACAAAGAGAGATGAACTCTACCCAGTTCACCCACGTTAAGTGCAGAGCCAAGGTTAGAACACAGGCAGCCTGCTTCCATTTCCTGAGCTTTATTGCCACACAGACACACAGAGGTATATATCTGTACATGTAAAAAGATGAGATTGATTGTCCTGTAACATAACAATGAAGGGAAAAAAAACCTGCAGAATGCTTATTTTAAATCTTGTCTTTTGCATCTTTAGTTAAAATACTAAAGAGTGCTTATCAAGTTTCACTTCATCACTATAAATTTCACATGCATCTCCAAACTATTGGCCCTTCAAACACACACTTTATTGAAATGACCTTATTATCAGTATATTTCTGATGTTATATACATGTTTTTCTTTTTCTCTTTTCTCTCTGTTTTGACTAAAAGCTTCTTAAAATAAATATTTTTATTGATTTCAGAGAGGAAGGGAGAGGGAGATAGAAACATCAATAATGAGAGAAAATTATTGATTGGCTGTCTCCTGCAGGCCCTACAATGGGGTTCTAGCCTGACACCCAGGCATGTGCCCTGACCAGGAATTAAAACATGACCTCCTGGTTCATATGTTGATGCTAAACCACTGAGCCATGTGAGCCGAGCTTGACTAAAAGCTTTTTTAAAAAATATACTTTTATTGATTTCAGAGAGGAAGGGAGAGGGAGAGAGAGATAGAAACAACAATGATGAGAGAGAATCATCAATGGGCTGCCTCCTGCACGCCCCCTACTGGGGATTGAGCCCAAAACCTGGGCATATGCCCTTGACTGGAATTGAACCTGGGACCCTTCAGTCCACAGGCCCAGGCTCTATCCACTGAGCCGAACTGGCTAAGTCTGACTAAAAGATTTTTGAAAGCTTCTCTTTACTTCTCCAAAATACTTCACAGTGGATAAATGCTTCATAAATAAAGGCTTCAGTAAAAATTAGAAATTAAGCATAAATAAGACTTTTGAAATTGGGTTCTCATTCTATAAATACTGGAGGCCTGATGCACGAGATTCCTGCAAGGGGCTTGGCCCTCGCAGCCCTGGTTTTGTCCGGAAGGTCATCCAGAGGACATCCAGAAGGTCATTTGGCTTTCCAGTCTAATTAGCATATTATACTTTTATTATTATAGATAGGCTATAATTACATAAGAATCTAATTTTACTAAATTCAGGTTTATTGTTAGCTGAAAATTTTACAGAGATTATTTTAAATCAAGTCTTTTAAAATGTTCTGGCTTTCATATATTATTATTAGAGACCCTGTGCACGAAATTTGTGCAAGGTTAGGGTCCCTAGGCCTGGCCAGCGATCAGATTCCCCGCCTCCGCACCTCCTCCTTCCCTCACTCCCTCAGCGCCCAGCCGCTGCTGCTGGTCATCCACCATTTTCCATGCCGCCCACTGGTGGTCAGCACATGTCATGGCGAGTGATTGAACTCCCAGTTGAACTTCCGGGGGGACACTTTGCATATTAGCCATATAGATATATAGATATATAGATATATAGATATATAGATATATAGATATGTAGATATATAGATATAGATATATAGATATAGATATATAGATTAATTGTCCATATCATTGTATCAAACTAATAATGAATGAACTTCTATAGTCAGGGGACTAGGCTTTCTCTAGATTTCTAACTGGTACAGGATAAGTGCTCTTATCCTGTACCAGTTTATTTCAAATTAATTTCAAATCAATTTATTTCAAATTAATTTGTTTTATAAACATTTTTATCTGTATTTCAGTGATAGGATTAGTGATACATGAGTAAAATGTTGAATTTTTAGAGCGGTTTTTCATCATCTTATCTTTTTATAGTAATTGCTATAATTTAGCCAATATTTCATTTGTAAACAAGACGTACAAAGTGTGTTTTTTTGCTCAACTTGTTCTTGCTTATAATCATTATTAATATGACATGTGATAGTCTTTTTCACAGTTCAGCTATCATCATGCATAACAGAACAAGTCATCTCTCAATATATTATTCTCAAATCCAGTTTAATTCTCCTCAAAGTCATGTTGGGATTCTTTGATCAACAACTTTGTCAGGAGTGAATGAACATTACTGAATGTGGAGAGAGAAGGAAATAATAAGTTCTGGTAGCATAATCTACTAGTATTTTGGGAGAAAAAGTGGAACTGACTTAATATTGAGTTTATTTAACCACATTGCCAGGTTCACTGCCTTGGGGGAGAAATTGGAGCCGAAGTTTGGGAGCATCTTCTTGTTATGATTCGATGTCCCTTTCTGGCACTTTCTGCTACTATCAGTAATCCTGAACATCTCACTGAGTAAGCCTGAGTTTTGTATTCATTTAATGCTATTAATGATAATAATTAATAATACAGACATTATTTAAAATACTCTTTAAAACAAAACAAAAACTCTCTTCAAGTAAAACTTATTCTCTTCAAATTTTGTTATATATAACTAGAAGACATTTGCACTCATCCTTTGACTAGATGTAACTTACATACTGGTTCTTCAACAATGTTGTGTGAGAGTGCTTTAATTTTCCTGTTTATAGCTTGATATTTGGGTTCTCAGAGAATAGCATATGGCAGTTTAGAACCATCCTTCAATAGGCTATGCCCACTACTTTTCTATGCAAAACACCAAAACTTTTTTAAAAAATTAGTCAACACATATCGCAGAAATGGATATACTCATTTAATTGGGTAAATGAATTTAATAAGAAACCTCAAAGTATCAGTTCTTGGTGATTTCATAAAAGTAATTGATTTAACTGTATGAGTATAAATATAGTTTGAGTATGCATAAAATGTAGAGATTTTTATTCTCTTAAAATCAACTAGAGGGCCAGTGCATGTAATTCATGCACGGGGGCGGGGGGGGGCAGGCAGAGATCCCCTCAGCCCGGCCTGCACCCTTTCCTAATCGCTCACCTGCCTGCCTTCCTGATCACCCCTAACCACTTGTCTGGCTCCCTGATTGCCCCTAACCCCTCTGCCGGCCTGCCTGATCACCCTAACCACTCACCTGCCTGCCCTGATTGCCCCAACCACTCTGCCTGCCTGCCTGATGGCCCCTAAGTGCTTGCCTGCTTGGCTGATCACCCCTAACTGCTCGCCTGCCTGCCTGATTGCCCCTAACCACCTCTGTCTCGGCCCCTGCTGCGGCGGCTTCATCCGGAATGACGTCTGGATGGTCGTTTGGCTGTCTGGTCTAATTAGTATATTATGCTTTTATTATTATAGATGTTTAATAATTTTTCTCAGAAAACAAATGATATGGGTTTTTTTTCTGTGATAATAATACCTTTATTTTCTTCATAACTAGATGGTTGGTGTTAATTAAAAGATACTGGCAAGATGTTGAAAGCAAAATGGAAAATTCTAGTTCATTGCAAAATGTCTTGAAAGTTTCAAAGAAACAACAAAGAAAAAGAATAGAAAAGCCATCCTACAGAGTTAGACTGGGTAAGACTATCTTAACTAAGAGAAGGGGGTGCTCAGAATTATTGAGCACACTCTATGTGTTTGCAACATATTAAAGCATCTTCTTTAAGTAAAAGAATTTGATTTGAACTACAGATCTGAAGGGAAGTCAATTTTTTGCAAATTTTATTTTATTTGTTTCCATCACCACTTATTCTCCCATACCCCTTCCACCTCCCCTGCTCTCCCTCTCATAATCACCACCCTGTTGTCAATGAGTTCTTTCTCTCTTTTTTTGTTCAATCTCTTCACCCTCTCCAGGCCCACAACCCCCACCCAACTGCTTCAGCCATATAAGTAGAATAGTTTGATTCTTATTACAAATCTGAAGGGAAATAATTTTTTTCTATCATATTTCATTCAAATGTGGAATCTAATGAACAATATACACAAATAAGCAAAATAGAGACAGACTTATAGACAGGAAATATTGTTTTAATATACAGAGGAAATTAAATAAGAATCTTAGCTCTAGAAGATTAATGACATGCTGAAGTTCACACAGCTAATGGTAGATCTAATAAACTTGAAGATCAAGCTCTTTGCAAATATATTTTTAAATAATGTGAATTCCTCTACAATTCAGTATGGTTAAAGATGTAATTATAGCACAGATAAATGTTTCACTTTCTATATTGTAAAAAAAAAAATTATAAAGGCAAAAACATGGCTAGAGGGCAGTTCAGTTTTGGTTTCCTGAAAAACCTTTGCTTCAAAATATACTGTCCTACTTATGGTCTAATTCTGTGCTATCATTCCCATTTCAGACTACAGGAATTTTTCTTCTCATGAATTTTCTTGACATTTGGATTATTCATTGTTCCTCAAAACTTGCATTTTCTTTTTTAATTAGTTTTTCTGGAATGACCTCTTATCTACAGTTGACCAAATTTTATCTATTGATTATTTAAGAGATATTGTCTAGAGGCACAACTGAAATACAGTCTTAATTCTTTTCGTTCAAGTTCAATAGTATGTCCTACATTATGACATATTCTACTGTCTATTGTAACTATTTTAATGTCTTATTTTCCTTGAGAAACACTAGACATTTTAAAAATATATATGCAGTATATTTAAGTAAATAGATAACATATGTAATGTGTTATATGTTATATATACATATATATTTAATCTGTATCATGGTGTCCTTTATTTTACATATACTCTAAATGTTTTACTACTGAATTAATGAATGTTTCTATACGTTAAATACTTGAGACTGTTTTCATGAAAATTCTATGAAGTACTATAAAATCATATTTTTCTGGCTACTTTCAATGGAAAGCTACAGATCCCCATATATGACACTATGCTTTCACTTAACAAATATTCAAGTTCCTGATGTGTGCTGGGTTCCTTTATTGTCCCTAGAGTTACAATAGGAAGCAAACTCTTTGCTTATCTGGAGCTTAAATTTTATGTGGACATAAAGATTAAACAAGATGAATAGTAAATAAAATTAAATAAATAACATGTTAGGTAATGGTAAGTGTTAAAAAAAATAAAGCCAGTGTAATATTAATAGAGGTATTTAGAATATCAGCTTCTTTGATTAAAGAAAATGAAGGGGGGGTGGAAGGAAGAAGACACATATTCTTTCTTTGACCTGGTAATATTATTCCTAAAGATAGAGAGATAATATAACAATAATAGTAATAGTGATACCCAATCTTCCTAATTAGTTGTATGTCTAAATATCTATTATTTATCCCAGACCCCATTACACAAGGCATGCTTTACAAAAATACATAGATACATAAATTATAAAATCATAAATAAATACCAGGAACCAAAAACTGTGATATAATATAATTGAAGACTAAGACCAGGAAGGAAAGTAAAACACTGATTCGCAGTATAGATATACTGAATCCTTTTTCAAGGTTCTTCCCAATGCACAGCACTGTTTCTAATGTGCTCCTGGCAATGGTCTTATGAAAACTCTTCCTAGGCCTGCTCATAATTGTAAAATCATAATTAGGTCATAGTTTTGAAAGCAAACAGATTTTAATGATCATTTCAATCCTATACTTACAGTGTGGTACACAGAGCGATACAATGATCTAGAAAAGTATGTGTGTTCCCTAAAGGATAATGAGTTTATCATTGAACACTATCACCCATGTGCTGCACTTACAGTCAACCATGTAAGTATAAACCACTTTGGAAAATGAGTATGTATCCAGATTGTTATAAACCTATATATGGAATATAAAATTAATAATTTTGTATTTTATGGTTTTTAGATAAAGAAGTATGGAATCCCTTTAGACCTTGGATTTTCTCCACGGGAAAGCATACTGCTTTATGATGCGATGGTACATGTTTGGCCAGAATGGACAAGAATAAAAGTGTGTGAATATATACTTCTATGGCTGATATCTCTAGTTCTTTGGCTATGACAGCCCATCAATAATAAGCAAATTCATGAATGGTATTTATTCTGGTTTAGATAAAAGCAGCATATTTCCTTGTTAAGAATTTAAACTCCAGAGTCACAGTACTCTAGAATTGGGCAAATAAGTTCAATTTTCTCTATTATCCCTATTTTCCTTACCAAAAAAATATATCTACTTTGTTGGTTTTTTTAAGATTAACTGACTTGTTATTTATAAAATGCTTAGAATGTCTTGCCATGGTAATATATATATATAATATGTTTAATATATATATAATGTTTAATATATATAATATATATATTAAACATTTCAGAAATTTTTATTTCTTTTACCTCTAGAGTTAATTGAAGTTTAAAAAAAATTATGTGTTGGTATGTTCTAATGAAAACAGAATAAAATGCAACCATTACATAGAGAACAGAACTGTTGACCTACCTGTAGTTATCTCTGTAACTGAATGTGGATGACTGCTTGAGAGATTTCCTTCGTAATGGTGGATATGGAAAACTTGAGAAAAAATGATGACTTCATTTTCCTTTGTATTTGTGGTTCTTCATTTTCAAGGAGTTAGAACCTGAAGAATTCAGCTGCTTCAAAAATAAAATAGTCATAACGAGGGCAGATGCTAAGAAATATGAAGAGGAACTGAAAAAGGAAATAATTCACTGGAGTCATCTGGACCCAAGCAAGGTAATTAAAAACATTTAGGATTTCTTTAAATTTAAGATTAATATGAAATGGATCTGACTTCTTCATTTAGGTTCAGAAGAATCACCCATAAAGCTTTCAAGGATTTGAAACATGAGTACCCCATTGCCATGCCTTGGTGTTCTAGCTTAAATTTAGTTATCTAGATGTGGAAAAATGCAAAGAATAATTGGGTACCACATCTTTTCTGAATCTCAAGTTAAGCTATTGCTTTTCATAGAGGATAGGACTTCTCTGATTTCTAATACCAGTGGGTCATTGCCCTGATTTTCTTCTCTAATATTTCCCTAAGGAAGACCTTTTGTCTATTTTACTTATTTAAATAGGTGAACACCCAGTTTCTTTTGGTTGCCAACAACATGGATAGTTGAAATAAATTACAAGTATTATTTAATTTACCTTACTATAATTTCCATTCTTTGACTTTACTTTTTTGTTATGATAAAATCCTCATAATATTTTACTTCCTGAAAATAAGTTCTACAATATCTCAATGGTACAAGCAGTGACACATGCCGTAGTTACCCAGGGCTGATTCACCAGACAGTTAGAAGGAACGGAATATGGTCAAACTCATTTACATATCCTGACATGTAATATCAAACAACCTTGACTGCTTGGGGCCCAAAGTCATGGTGAAGATGTGATCACTTCATTATCAGCCAGGTTCAGGTAATGGAAGCAGAATTTCAGTCCACCCATATTTTCTGCATTCTCTTTCCACATGGGAAGGAACCCCTGTTTGGTTTTGGTTTTAAATTTTAATTACACCCAGACTTGGGCAGACTACCTGATCTGCAAGTGTGAAAACCAACTGTCAAGAATTGCTATTGTATAGATAAAGGTTGTCAGCATTAGCTGCTTATAAAAATGCAGCTTATTAAAATTTCTGATTTGATTGGCTTTGTGTGGTGCGGGGGCAGTCGAACATTAAAACAAAATTCTATGAAATTTCAATGTGCAAACATGGTTGAGAATCTTTGGCCTATTATTGCTATTATCTGGCTTTTAACACACTGGGATATATAGGCACCAGCCTAGATCAAACTTAATTTTATTTACTCCTCTTGACTCAACATATTTTAGGAGGTGGCCAATCTCTAAGCTCTAATTAGTTCCATCCAATATACTCTCCATTAGGCACAAGTGATATATTTCTTTTCCTTAGAGCTTATGACATGCCTCATGGCAATAAACTGTCATTCATAACATGAAAATCCTCTTCTCATCTATTGTATCTTGTCTATCAATTTTTGTTAACATTTTACATTCTTTTCACCTAAAATTTTAGTTTTAAACATTTATTTTCCTTAATTTTATGTTAGATATTTTGTTAAAAATATTATTTGTAGACAGTTAGGACTTACTGTGCTCTGTGTTCACCCTATTAATAACCAATATCAATTTGTAACCATCTCTGCCCCATTCCATAAACACCGTGCCATGATATGACATAGATATGATTAAAATATTGTAGAAACATGGCATTCAAGTTTTCTCAGATTTTAATTTTATTTGAAAATTTGCATTATTTAGATATAATTTCTAACTTACTCCATGAAAATGCGCTAAGCCTTAACAATTTGATTTTCAGTCTCAAATGCCAGCTGATTGTATCATCTATCTCTTCTTCACAATCATAAGTATTTTGACTTATAATTTTATTCAGGTGAATCAGTTATTCATGTACCTTAAGCCTCAAACTTTTGACAGTGCAGAAATTGAAAAGCGAAGGATGTTTCCTCATTTTGTGGAAAAACTTAAAGAAATGAATAGGCTGCCTGCAATATTTTTTTCGTAAGTAACATTTTCTTAGCATTATACTTAATATTGTATAAATTTGAGGAATTTTGAAAACAATCATTGAGGAAGAATATATATAACCTTTAATTCACAATAGTAGAATTTTGAGAATTTTTTAAATCCTCATTCGAGTATATGTTTTTATTAATTCTAGAGAGAGAGAGAGATACATCAATATGAGAGAAAAACATTGATCAGTTGCATCCCTTATGCTCTCTGATCAGGGATCAAACTGTAACCAGGTATGTGCCCTGATGGGAATTGAACCCACAACCTTTTTTGGGGGGCACAGTAGACATTGTTCCAACCAACTTAGCCACCTGGCCAGAGCATATTTTGAGAAATTATAACTCTATTTATGTTGAAATCATACTTATAATACCAAGCTGGGTATAGGATGAGAGAAAGGAGCACCTCTCATTAGACTATATTTCAAAATCTAATTGTATAGTTTAATACTGTAGAATTTCTGGCCCATCCTTATAAGAAAAGTTCTATATATCATCAAAGTAAGATAAGGAAAAAAGGATAAATAGAGTGTGCATTTGCCAAAGAGAGCATGTACAATAACACACACATGCATAACATATACACACATATGACCTTGCTGTATTTTTTCTATAGATTGTTTGCAAAAGTAGACTCATCTAAACTCTTCATTAAAAAGGAAAGACCTTCACTCTGCTAGTTTCCTTTTCCTATTTTCCCTTAAGAGTATTAAAAGAAAAGTGAGCTGGGGCTTAGTAGCAACATTAAACAATTAGCAATCATGTTTTCATTATACTTAAAATAATGATTTTCCTTTGGAAAATATTTTGTTAATCTATACGTATGAAATGAGCTTACATTCAGTTCATTTTACTTTGCTCATTGGTGCTAAGTCCAGGACTCAGGGATGCAGAAGCAATCTGTGACATGGCTGCCCTTAAGGAATTAATATCCTTGGAAGAGTGGTTGTATATGACCTTGAAATAGTTAGACTCAATAGTTTAGCCAGTAAGTATATACACAGTTACTCAACATTTCAGAATTCAAGAAATTCTGTAGGTGCTAATAGTGAATATGAGGAGATATTTGTCACCTCTGGAAACATAGGAGAGTAAAATAGCAAATTATTAATTATAAAGTCCATCCCTCAACAGTATAACATAATATATACATCTTAAATAAATGTGTGATAAAGACATTAGGTGCTTCAAAGTTTAGTGGGAAGAGAAAATAATGGCTAGGGTGGCTAAAGACACTTAAAAATATTTTTATTGATTTCAGAGAGAGGAAAGGAAGGGGACAAAGAGAAAGAAACATCAATGATGAGAGAGAATCATTGATCAGTTGCCTCCTGCACATCCCACACTGGGGATCAAGCCCACAACCGGGAATGTGCTCTGACTGAGAATTGAACCATGACCTCCTGGTTCATAGGTTGATGCTCAATCACTGAGCCACGCCAGGTGGGCTACAAAGGAATTAGGCCTCAAAATGTATATATTCTAGATAAGAGGAAAGGTGAGGAAACCTACATCTAATTTGTTATATTCCATTTTAAACAAAGCAAGATCTACAAAGCAAACAAATTAAAGGTAGATTATGAATAAAACTTATATGATTGTATGTATAATCTATCTCTCATGTATGAGAGATAGATGTAAGTAATATGAGATGTATCTAATATATACGATACATATAAGATTGATATGAACATGCAATTATTAACAATTCTCATATATTTTAAATTTAGATTTAACATTCATTCAGTGGAACTTTCAGCTTCACGACTTTTTACACATTTGATAAGCAAACAAATTACTCATAACAATCCAAATTCTGAAAGAGAGAAGAAAATTTTGATCAAGAAACTATGGAAAGCAAGAAAATCTCAAAAAAGAAACATTGCCGCGTGAGTGTTTTTACTTGAGCTGTGGAATTTTAAATGTTTAATAAAATGCATGGGTGTTCAGCTGTTTTTATAAATTCAAACTTGTTTTTATAACGTAATAATGTGACTGTTTTTCCCTTTCTATGATACATCGAGTTAATTTAATTATACTTCACTTTTGTGGGGACATCCAAGAGAGAATTTTTTTGAATATTTTAGTAATTATACAATAGTTTATAATAATTTTCTTCATTATACTAGCTTCTTTTTTTTCTTAGAAATGCAAGTTATAGATTTGTTTTTTAGAAATTGCAAGTTTGCATATTGCTAAAAATAAATTGTTTAAAAAGATACCCATTAGAATTTCAACCAGCTAATTAGTCAGAACAAGTTCACTGACACATTTTTCTTTTAACATAACAAAGGAAATATGATTTTTGCATTTTTATGACTTTATTATTTTAACATAAAGTATATAAATATATAAACAAATGCCTGTATTTTTGTTTCATTCTAATGTACAAATTAACCTGAAAAACATGATGTATAAATTTTGTTACATAACTTTGTTTGATAATAGTTACACAAGTCTCACCCTCCTCAGGATTCTTTTCTAGCATTTGTCTTTACCTACTTTTGAGAGAAATAATAACCATAATACAATAAATTATTCTTTTCTGACTGTTTCAGATAAATTTCTGAGGTGGGGGTGGTCATATAAAATGGGTTTGGGTCTTAGAGTAAAACTGCAGATAGGATGACTGAATCAGGCCCACTCTGATGGCCCAACAGAATGGTGACCCTTTCTCCATATGTCACTTCACCAGAGCAATGACTTGTTGAGAAGTGCTCCAATACATCGCTCATGGCTAATTTTGGCACATATTGAAAATCAATTACAGTATGTGTTTAAAAGAAGAGAGTAGCAGATAACATTTTTCTATACTTCTTCAACTATTAAGAATTTGCATTTGTTTGCAGTTAGTAGGATACTTGAATTTTTCCATCATATTTAATGTAAAAAATATTGTTCCACTGGATATAGAAAATAAATTAAAATTTGGTTGACATGAGATATGGGAGAGGTGCAGGAGGTTTTTCTATTTCCTGTTAGATGCATATTAATGCATATGTTTAAAGTATACTTAAATGGTAAGTTGATAAAGACACAATTGAGGTAATTAAGGCCTGATGAATATCCTCTAATAGAGATATTGTGTTCTGGGTTTGAGTTACCTGGCATTTACATACATAACCTCAAACTTAAAAAAAATAAAATAAAAGAACATGATATAATCAATATATTTACGCATTTTTCTCTTTTTCATATTCAGGTATTTTAATTCAGATTCAGGTGCTAGAATACAAAGAATCATTTTATTAGCAGCTGAAATAAAGGAAATTAAAAAAAACCTTAAGAAACATTATGAAATTTCTCCAGACTGTACTTACACTGACCGTACAGTTGTGGATTATCAGGTAAGAGAAAAAAAAACAACAAGGGTAATGCAAGTGTGTGTATGGACTTGCTAAGGCTGCTGTAACAAAGAACCACAGAGTGAGTGGCTTAAACAACAGAAATTTATTTTCTCCCAGTTCTGGAGAGTAGAGTCTAAGGTCAAGGTGTTGGCAAGGTCACTTCCTTCTGAGGGCTTCTAGGGAAGGATCTGTCCAGGTCTTTCCCCTTGGCTTGCACATGGTCATCTTCTTTGTCTATCTTCATACCATCTTCCTTTTTATGTGCCTGTGTTCAAATTTCCTCTTCTTATAAGGACACTAATCATATTGGATGAGAGCCCACCCCAATGACCTCATTTTAATTGAATAACTTTATAAAGACTCCATCTCCAAATGCAATAACATCTTGAGGTACTGGGGGTGCACAATTTTTGGAGGAGCACAATTTAGTACATAAAAGTGTGTATGATGTCTATACTTTGATATGGAATTTATAAAACACGTAACATACTTAATCTAAATTAATCTTGAAACAATGGATGGGAGACTAAAGTTGTAGGCTGGAGAAATTAAGATAATTTGTTTGTGCCGTAGCTGGTTTGGCTCAATGGGTAGAGCGTCGCCCAGTAGACTGAAAGTTCCCAGGTTCAATTCCGGCCAAGGGAACATGCCTGGGTTGCGGGCTTGATCCCCAGTAAGGGGCGTGCAGGAGGCAGCCAATCAATGATTCTCTCTTACCATTTGATGTTTCGATCTCTTTCTCCCTCTCCTTTCCTCTCTAAAATCAATAAAATATATTTTTTTAAAGAGATAATTTGTTTGAGTTTATACAGTTATTAAAAACAGCTTGATGATTTGTGCCAAAGTATAACTCCAATATTTATGAAACTGTCTTTATTAGTTGAAGTTAATTATAACTATTCCTTTATGTAGACAGATATCTAAAAATCTTTTCTCTCATCTTTTCTCTCAGCTATAGGCTTAAGCAACAACTTGCTAAAAGAACCTCAAAATCATAGTTGTCTGTCTTCTGAATTATCTACCTTGTGCCTAGTTCTTCAAACTTGAAACTGTGGAGTTCTGATTGCCTTATACTTCTCCCTGATGCCACAGCTCATTCAGAAATGCTAAGCAATGGTTGCTCATAAAATCCTTGCTGGTTGACCTTATTGTTCATGTAATAGTTAGAGAAATATGGTTATTACTTGTTTATGGCTTGTGCAATAATTGGGAGGGGGAGAAAGAGAGGCAGAATGAGAGTAAAGAGGTGAAAAAGAGAAAAGAAAAAAGAAAAGAGAGAAACAATAAGAATGACTAGGAAAGAGAGACAAAGAGAAGAGAGAGATACAATAACAGTGACTGACAGAGATAGACAAAGAAATGTACAGAAATAGAGAGTTTCAGAGAGAGAGAAAAGGAGAAAAGGTTAGAAGCAGAGGGAGAGAAACAGGGAAGGATTGGGCAGGGCGGGGGGGAGGAAAGTGACAGACACAAAGATAACAGAGAAAAGATAAACTGGAAGACATGAAGAAAGAAAGAAGAGAGAGAACAATAAATACCGGTCAGACATGACTGGAGGTGATAATAAAAAAGAAACCCAGCAAGTTAGAGTTGAATTAACAGCAAAAGTAAAATAAAACTGAGGTGGTAGCAAGTCAGACTAAGCTGAGAATTTTGGGGGGTACTAGCATCAGGGCACTCTGGTCCCTCACCCACCTCTTATCCTGTCCCTTCAGTGTGTCCTCACTGTCCCTGGGTGAGCTGGCGCCCTTAGTTCAGTCCATTACAGCTATAGCCAGTGATTAAGCAGTTGGGATTGTGGCTAGGCCTTGACCACCCAGTGGGTATGGGGAATAAAATGGGGTACATGTTCCTGATGAAGAAATGGATGAAGAAAGGATCACTACATATAAGGTTGGGTTGCATTTGCTTGTGTCAGAAAGATATGGAGCTTTGAATGTCCGGTACTGTGAAACCACTCTACTAAAATATAAAGCCTAGTTAAATAGGTTTTGGGTTCTGGCCTTAAACATACTATTGTTTAAAGTGTGTCCAACTCTGAATTTATCTCTAAACAATCTTTTTAGACCTGACATCATTGTTAAGTTGAAGGATCAATGCTTTCATTTGACACTACAGACTCTTTTTTGGGGGTATTTCAGACTTTAGCCAAGATCCTACGCAGACTGAGAGGAACAAGACAAGGCTACAAACTACACGGTCTGTTAAGGCGGGGCATTGGATATCACCACGGTTCGATGGAAATCAGACAAAGACAAGTTGTAGAGATGCTTTTCAGACTGAAGCACCTCAAGGTTGGTGAACTTTGAGGATAACTTTCCTAAAAGCAGTGCCTTCATTCTTTCGGCCTGAGTAGGATAGTCACTCTATCTCCCTCCTCATAACCTCTCCACTGCAAGGGATATGTTGCTAACCTTTTAGCATATTCTATTCCATCCCTTTAAATACATTTTACATAGTTAATGAATAATATATATGCAATTAGGGATCCTGTCTACTTTGCTAATCCTTACTAATAAAAGCCTAAGTGGTCGTCATCACAAGATGGCTGCACGCACAGCGGGGTGTGTGCAAGTGGGTGGGGCTGGGCTTGGGCTTGATGCTGTGTGTGCAGCAGGGAGCCTGCCTGGGAGTCCGGCCTCCACAAGGCATGGCCTGCCAGCTCCTCGCAGTGAGGCCTGCCTGGGGGTCTCTCCTCCTCCTGGCTCCGCGTGGCGAGGCCTGCCTGGGGTTCAGTGAGGTCTGCCTGGGGGTCCCCCGGCTCCGCACACCGAGGCCTGCCTGGGGTCCTGCCTCTTCCCGGCTCCGCACAGCAAGGCCTGCCTGGGGATCCTGGGGGTCCCACCTCCATGCACCGAGGCCTGCCTGAGGATCCGGCCTCTTCCCGGCTTCATGCAACGAGGCCTGCCTTGGGTCCTAAGGGTCCTGCCTCCCAGCTCTGCGCAGCATGGAGGCGGGACCCCTGGCTCTGGCCTACCTCTTTGGGGCAATCCATCAAGGAGCCCCGGATGGGTGGGTAGGTCCTACCTCTTTGGGGCAATTGATTGTGGGGCTCCCACACTGTGACAGGGCACAGGCCAGGCTGGGGACCCTCTCCCCCGAGTGCACAAATTTTGTGCACTGGGCCTCTAGTAGTATGTAATTAAGTTTATTATTAATTAGCATTACATAATAAACATTGTATCAGTGCATCATAATATACATATATACTTTATTTAAACATTCTAATGTTGAAATTGTTGTTTATAAACATATATCATCATTTCTGATTGTTGATGGGATCAGCTGATTCTGCAAAGTGAAATCACTGTTTTGAAGAGCAAAAGTGATTTTCAGACTTTAGAAATACATTGCTAAATTTCTTTCCAGATGACTGTATTTGTTTACTTCACCTTGACAATTTTGAGTATTATGGCTAAAAAAATGGAGTTGTGAGTACAATATAGAGAGCATTTTATATGCCATGCACCCAATTTCACTTATTAACATCTTACATTAGTATGGTACATCTATAATAATAAAAGTGTAATATGCTAATTAGACCAGACATCATTCTGGATGTCATTCTGGATGTCCTTTCTGACGAAGCTGGGGCCAGAGGGAAGCCTGTGTCCGCAGCTGGGGGAAGGAAGGCCTACACATGCAAGATTTTCGTGCATCGGGCCTCTAGTTTGTTATAATTAAATAATATTGACAAATTTTTATAAACTAAAGGTTATTCTTTATTCAGACTTCTTCAGTTATTCCTGCAATGTCCTTTTTCAGTTCCACAATTACAACCAAGATGCAAAATTTTACTTGTCAGACCTCTTTAGGCTTTCTTGGATGTGACACTTTCTCAGATATACTAGTACCTTGTTTTTAAAGATCTTGATGCTTGTAAGGATAATTGATCAGATTATTTTGTAGAATATTACTCAATTGGGATTTCTCTGATGTCTTTCTCATGATCACATGGGATCTTATGGGTTTCTTGAAGGAAGACCACAGAAGTAATGTGTCATTCTCATCATATTATCTCAGGGTTATAGATTATGGACATGACATCACTGTGGGTATTAATCTTTAGCACCTGGCTGAGCCATATTTGTTAGACTTTTCCACTATAGAGTAACCTTTTAATCTCACTTTTCATACTGCCCTCCTTGAAAGGAAATCACTATGCATAGTCCATGCGTAAGGAGTAGGTAGTTTAGTTATACTTTACCTCCTTATAGTTGAAGTATCTACATAAATTATTTAGAATTCTTCTGTATAAGAGCTGTGTCCCTTCTCTCTCTCATTTATTTATGTATCCAACATATATTTATATCAATATGGACACATGGCTATTTTCTGCTTTGGATTATAATTCAATGCTACTTTACTTTTTTCTTATTTGAATTGTTCCAATTTTGGCAATTGAGAGCTCTTTCACTTGCTTCCTGTAACCCTTTGGCATGCTTCCCTCATTGTGAGTTGTTTGCTTTTAAACACTTCCTTACATTCTGGCAAAGTAAGACGCTCAGTCCCAGTCTTGGGATAAGTCGTGTCTCCAAAGAGGCCAATTTCTTTTAGAGGAACCTGAGAAACTGTTACAACCAAGAAGAGTCAAAGGAGACACGCCTACCAAATGTAATGTGGTGCCCTGGGTAGATACATAAAAAGGACATTAGGTAAAAACTAAGAAAATCTGGAAAAAGTATGAACTTTAGTTAATAATAATGTATAGGACCAATTTAAGATGTTAATTGTAGGGAAAACTGGGTACAGAGTATAGGAACTCTGTATTATCTTTGCAAATTTCTTTAAATCTAAAAGGGTTCTAAAAATAAAGTTTATTTAGCAATATATCCTATACATGCATTAAAATGTGTTCTGTAGGTACTGATTTCAGTGTTCTGGGAGGCTTCTTAATTTAAATTTGTATTACTGGTAATTTTTTTTACCTTCTACCAATTATTGAAAGTAGAATTATTGAGAATGAAAGTGTTAATGTAAATTTTTCTGTTTCTCTTTGTAGTTCTGCTAATTTTACTTTTTGTTTTAATATGTTCTATATTCTATAAGAAAATGGCCTTAAGGATAAAGCACATTAAAAGCACTCTGAGAAAATAGAGTACTGTAACAGAGCGACATCTGATTTGTAAAAATGAAGCCAGGCCAGTGTTGTTCAGTGGTTGTGTTGCCCTATGAACCAGGAGGTGACAGTTTGATTCTCCATCAGAGCACATGCCTGGGTTGTGTGCTAGATCCACAGTTGGGGTCATGCAGGAGGCAGCCGGTCAATGATTCTCTCTCATCATTGATGTTTCTATCTCTCTCTCCCTCTCCCTTTCTCTCTGAAATCAATAAAAAGATCTTAAAAACACACACACAACAACAACCTCTACTTCTGAAATATACATTATTGTAACATATATTTCTCTTTTTTTATTCCATGGTGTTATTTTTATTCAGGTAACAAAAGTTTTAACTTCACTATATTTGTGTTTTTCTACGATTACTCATTTATATACTTTTAAACATCTTTCATTTTCCTGAAATTACTTCCATTTTTCCAAATTTAGAATTTTCTTTTTTAAGTGATGAAGCAAAATGGCAAAACTCTTAGTTTTTATTTGTCTAAAATTCTCCACTTTGCCCTTATTCTGGAAAAATAATTTTGTTGTGTATAAAACTCTAAGTTGGAAGTTACTTTCTTTAAGTTTCTGAAGATAAAATTTCATTTATTTCTTGCTTCCATTTTGCTTTTTAGATTTTTTAAAAATATATTTTTATTTATTTCAGAGAGGGTGCATGGATTCATGCACATTGAAAGGAAATTAATTAAAAGAAAGATTCATGCAGTAATTACATTACTGCAAAAAATTACATGTCAAAATAGTATATATAATATAGTATTATAAAATTAAAATACAAAATATTTTAATATCACTATTCACCCTTTCTCTATAATAGAAGTGCACGAGTCAACGTTTATTTTTAAATTGCCAGTGTGCATCATATATACTGGCCTGTCGATCAGTCAGTTGGTTGGATGGGATGGACGGTTGATCATTTAGCCTTTTATATATATATAGATAAGCTGATTCAT